GAGACCCAAACATATCTCGATACGAGAAGCGCTAACTGAGTTGGCTGTGCTTCAATACGAATCGATTTCAGGGATGGCTATATGTGTATCTCCCTCCACGAACTTGGTCCCCTGCTTTCTCTAGAAGGGATTAACTGTTACCAGTATTAGCACCTCGCTCCCAGTCTAGTTCCCAAGAGCAAAGTATTTTAAGGGCTGTAAATGTGACCGTGCGACATACAGACAGGTTTATTGAGGCACGTGATACAGCGGCGTTTTATGGCGTCGACATTTAAATGTTTCGGGCAGCCAAATTAGAATTGGCTTGTCGTTGAGGCCGAGTGCATGGAAGCATGGGGGTTTCACCATCAATACCAAGGCCGTCTATCGACAATCACAGGGCAATCCTGAACGGATATGTGCTGGCAAAATGCGTCGACCAAGGACGGCCGAGCCTACGTTTAGCCATGATGCGTAAAATGCAGAAAAGGCGTGTGTGTGCGCATCACAATTGTTTAGGGTTATTGACACGTTTCCTTTACTTTAGCACCCAAACAGATGCGAGAACGAAGGTGTTCTCGGGGTTGAAGTTTTCACTGAAACTCTTGGCGTTGACGGTTCACCTCATGGGAAATTCACTTTCCACGTCCTGCATGCGCTATCAAGTGGATTAGTCACTTTTGATATATCAACAGACGCTGCCAAGCTCCAGCAAACATGACCTCTGGCATGTCAACGCTGTGAGTTCCACAACGAAAAGCGTTCCTACGACCTTAGAACGGACCTTCTGCCTAGTTGTCTGACCTGAAGCGTTACGAATCAGACGAGCTCTTCAAGTTGAAGCAATGGTGATTTGAAAACAGAGTGAGCACGCACTGCGGTACACAAGGCAGTCGTCACACCGTCCAGCCGGCAACTTCACACCGTCCAGCCGGCAACTTCACACCGTCCCGCTTTAATGCTGCTTTCTAACCACTTCCATTAACTTGAAGGCACTCCACACCGCGCACGCAAAACAGCTTCAACTCGCCTAAACGTGATAGTTCTGCGCTGGCGAACACACTTCCCTCTGGCAGGATTGGTTAATTACAGGCATTACTTAATGCAACAGGCACTCAGAAAACGATCTGGACCACGACTTTTACAACAAACTGCGAAGGTGTTAACTATCTGCGACAAAATGTGTAGGGTGTAATAATGTGACTAGCAGTAAAACGTAGGCTGGTAGGTTGTCAAACAGTATATGCACATGTTACCACCTCCCAATACGAATTGTGCGTAGTTAAACTGATGTCTTATTTTGCAAGAGCAACCGATGCGCTTGGAAGACTGGTCTAATTTTAACTAAGAGCCTGTTATCATGTAGAAGACGCTAGAAAGTGGAGATGGAAACCACAGTGGTAATACCAGTGTTTGTCGGAGGCCCTCTTTCTGCAAATTGCTGTCTCCATTAACGAGAGTAGCTGAATTTAACGTAAAAGTCTCGTAGCGGTGCGATGACACGAGATGTGAGTGGCAAACATGGTAAGAGAAGTGATTTTAGGGGCCATCTTATTCACGTGGTCGTTCGAATAGTTACGACATCACAGAAAGGAAATCGAAAATAACGCAGTCCTAGTTGCCTATTAACTTAGCAAAATTGCATTGCATGAGGACTTGATCAATCCAAAAGAAAAATTTAATGCAATTTATGAGGTCAGATGTCTGGAGGCGCGGGAAAACACTTGCCAAGAAACCCTGCTGACTAGTTTTCCACAAAGGAAGTGTCTGAAACACGTTGGCAGCAGATCTCTTTCCCAAGATCTCGCCAAATAGACACGGTGTAAGCAAATTTAAGAGGCTTTTGGAACCGTGTCTTCGTGCACTTTTCATTTGTTGAAGGCACTACTAAGGCAGCCACTCAGGCCAGCAGCTCGGAAGGAGAAACGGAAAACAAAACACCGATGTCATGTGCAAATCACAAGTTACTGACCAACCAAGGCCATGAATGATCTGGATATTGAGAAATTTATGATGCACTGTTTTTTATTTTGGAGGGACAGGTTGGGTAAAGATTTTGTTTGTAGTGTAACTCAACTCATGCAGCGAGGGGGAGTGATGGTGGGCAGCGAATTCACGAACAAGACTTCGAGAAGACGAACCGGACGCTAACATTTACCGAGTCTTGCGTATTCTTTAAGCACCTTCTCTTAAGTTTTACAGAGGCTTAGGGTAAACACAAGAGATTCTTGCTCCATAGCTCAGGACTCTGACAGAAGTGCAAACATGAAGCACAAATAAAAGGGAAGTTTTGTTTGCAGCACCAATTATGATTGACATTGAGCGATGGCTTAGGGCTAGTGCTGGCTATTTATGAATGGATTCGGTTTTGAAAAGTTGATTACGATTCTACAGGCAACTGATGAAAGGGTATTAATCGGCATAAGATAAATGCATTAGTTCAGTTGGAACCCCCAAATTGCAGGTTGGCTTTAGAAAGAGAAGAGAAAGATGACCTCAAAGAGCCGTTAGTAAAATACACAGTGCTTTCTCTCTAAGTATACATATTTTCAAAAACCTTTAGTTAAATGTAGACACAAAGATGGATGGTTATGGTGTTTTATCAGAAAATTCAACATCCTACCACCTTAACGCCAGTTAAAAATGGGAATCAAGCTGTCTCCCACAAGGGCCTGCTAGAAGGATGCAAAAATCAGCATCCGTAAATCCCTTCCAAGCTTTCGACATCTTTTCTACCCAAAGAACCTAACGCGGGTATCCCACGTACCTGCCCATGTCATTCTGAGGGCTCAACAATGACCGATTTGGTTGTCGACGTCTTTTATTAATGGCACATACCCCCGTTCCAACATTTTTGATTAATTATAGTTAGATTACAATCATATCGTTGAAAGCAAAAGCCTGCCAAATTGGGTGGAACCTCAGTTTCCATCAATGATAATTAGACTGCTAATCACTGCTATTAACGAACTCTGAGACGCAGCGCACAGGCGTGTGAAGAGTGACTTTACACTTGCTAGTAAGAAAAAAAGAACTGCTAAATCGCGTGACACCGTGGTGCTCTTAAAAAAACCGCAAGATCTGTCTAGGCTGTCTGCTTGGATTTGACACAATGGGAAAGTTTGATCAACTGCATGACAAACCGGTTGAGCGTAAGCAGGCTGAAAACCAGGACGTTTTTCAGACAAGAGTCCCTAGAGTCGGTAATTTTTATTCGAAATCGCAAGCTGGTGTACAGGGTGCCGAGTTGGTGATTCTTGCATCAGCCTGACTGACTTAAGTCACTAGTAATATGTGTTCTGTTTCAGTTACACCAGAAGCCTGCAGACGCCTCAGAGTCAGTAAAACGACGCAAACACACACCATTTGGGAGTAAAACTGAGCCTCGCAAAACAGGCTTAGTCACTGAGTTGAACTGTCATCTTCCACATGTGACTGGTGTTTGTCGATTCGGTCGATCCAAACGCGAAAGGCAGTTACTGACTCCGAATAGCCACAACTCCTCACGATTGCCTTAATGAGCCACTAAACAAGTGCAAGTCATTTTCACAAATATCTAACCTTCGAGCAACTGAAACGTTTTTACCCACGAAATGTCAAACTCAGACATCAAGGTCAAGTATCCGCCTACTGACTTATAAACAAGGGCTTAGCCCAGCGTAGGTTAATGTTGCCATGGTGTTCAACACTTGAGTTAAAAAGAGTTAATGTAACTTCGTAAACAGAAGTATGCTGAGGCAGTCCCACAAAATGCTTTCACATTTCAGGACTTGAATTGCAGCATGCTTTGTGTCCTTTGACGAAAGTTATTTTAGCATCGTGTGGGCTACCACACGATGCCACGAGTTATGAGGTCTCCATCTGCGAAACTCCAATCTGCTAAAAAAAGACCCAGGAGCGAAATCGAAATTCTATTTCCTTTGGTTTTGAGAGGAAACCCGTCTCAGGGAGCGTGGTATAATGGAGGGATTAAAGCCTCAATCACAGCTACATACCGGTTGCACCAATCCCGGCGCCCGCGCTAAGGGATTACTTTGATCTCGCCGCCAAGTGTTAACACGACCTCAAGGAACGAAAAATCATTTTCTTAATTCATTTGGACACCGTCTGTGGAGGCCATTTGCATTCTATTAGATAGTGCTTTAAGTGGTTATTAGATAGACGGCTTCTGCTACGATATACTCGCGCAAACATGCTATAGCAATGAAATGGAGGCTAGATGGTCTTTAGAAGGCTATCAGAGGGAGGAAGAGGCAGCACTATGTTGTGCGTTTTCGGCGTTACGCCATTGGCTGGGGCGTTAACCTGTCCTAAGCCCCCCAAATGGATACAGTCCCCACGGGGTTAACCGCAGGTGTAACCGTTAAACCCACTAGATTTAAGTCGCCTACCGCAGGCACGGTATGCGGCATCACGAAAACGCGAGGAACGGCATTTAAACGAAAAAATGGCAGAAATCGAGAATAATGGGTTGCATGTAATTAGACAAATCCCCATTCTAGGCAAGGAATTTGCTAATTCCCATTGTAAAATATTCCGAGGGATGAAAGGTATCTAAGGAAAATAAGCTCGTTAAGTTAGATGAAGTTAAAACCGGGATAGTCCATTTTAGGTTTGTCGGTGTTTGCTTGTGGGCCGAAAACTGTAGCAAAGTAAGCAACTAAACCCACAACTGCTTCACTTGTCGACAGCGTGCATTGCGCGCGAGTTTATACACGCTGGGTGCCACGCGCGACCTGGCCAGTTGAGAAGCCTTGAGTCAAAGGGCACACCACGAGCGCCAAAGCCAAAGGTGCCTCTGAATCGACTGAAGCGGGCCACTGGACGTGGAAATAAGCCCACCATTGGAAATCCCAAACGTGGGCTTTAACTCGGCTCACCTACAGTGCACCAAGTCACGGCGTTGTCTAGCGAATGAACCCATTCCGACACAAATACCATGATTGTGTAAAAAAGGTCAAGCGAGTGATTTCGACTAAACTTATTCCTTTACTACCCGTGATGAGCAATTAAACAAGCTCCTATGAAATAGAGAAAGAAAAAAGAAAGGCAACAAATTATCCACTTGAATTGAAAATGGTTAAAGCAGACGGCAAGAGGTTCGAGGATTTGAAGTATTTTTTTTTCTTATTCTTCGCAGACAGCTTCAAGTTCTAAATTCTCCTTGGCTATCACAGAATCTGCAGAAATAACATCTCAGACGTAAAATGAATGGAAGACTATAGAAAATGAAATGCTAAAGTACCCAGGTAACCAGATGTTGCAAACCTCTTGAAACCTGAATGTGGAAGCCGACAGGGAAAATCGATGAAAATTCAGAAATAGCTCGATCAGAAACCCACAAATTTCATTTAGTGTGGTTATTGATGTTAAATTAGGGTGAAATAAATGGCCTTGAACATGACATTCAGGACCTGTCATGAATTGCTTGCATACAAGTCGGACTATGCTTTTCAAGTAGCCAGTGAATTGTTCGTCTCATTGCTGCATTGTTGACAGTTTTGCATCCATTCAAGAATTACTTGCACAAGATAGCTCCACGAAAATGCATGTCGGAAAGTAACTAGGAAGAAGTCAAAAAGGCGAGATTTGGTAAAAAGAAAACAGCAAAGTCCTTCGGCGATTTGGAGTCTTGATAAAAATATCCCGCGTCTCCAGCTCTACTTGCAGCTCCAGTAACAATTCAATTTACTGACAAAACATCTTTCTTGTTGCCTTATTTAACAGCTACCACGCCACCCGAATTGCCCCCAAATAACCCACTCCGCAATATAAACATGCTGGACTTCGATGCTTCAATTTTTTCCGCAATTATTTACGGCCTTCATACGCTACACCGTGCCGCTGCGTTGCCTTTAGCGTGCCCTTTTTAAAAGAGGTTTGATGGCCCATATAACGGTAATTCTCTCTTACGAATAGCATGTAACATTTTGTAAATAAACTGCATGAATACTTCGACATCGAAGCCGACTCACCAATGTGGGGGTAGCTTGATCGAGATCGATTGGTGGCAACGACGGCGGACAGAGCCTGGTACCAAGCATCCACAAGGTTGGCGCTGCTGAGGGACAGGAAGGTAGAGCTGCCATCCTGGAAAAAGAGACCTAGGGAAGTGGGTGGACGATTTGCACCGGCCTTGTCATCATTCAGAGAAGGCAAACCGCAGATGGAAGCTGGTCGCTCGGCGTGGGTACTCAATGACGTGTGGCCATCAGTGGCCGTTGGTGTCGGCCCTGGTGTCGACGTGGTCGAGATGTAGGATTCCTGAAAGGCCGTGGAAAAATGGAAGTCATAAATCATTTATTCGTTAGACAGGAAGGTTTGGGTTATATATGTACAACTTGGACTACTGCTAAGACTACATTAAGTACTGCTTGCAAACCCAAGAAGTCCAATTTGGAAGATCGAATTGGCTTCAAGCAACGCATATGAAGCCATTTCAGATGGTCTAGGTTTTAGCTGTCAGGGCCTTTCCTATTATTTTTATTTCCTAATTTTCTGAAACTGAATGGGGCGCCATTTACAGGAACAACAACGGTTGATCGTCTTAAGTAGCGTCCTGAGCAAACAAAATCAAAAACAAAATATTTTCCATGGCTTATGCTTTCCATTCAGAGGGCTGGGTTGAGTTAGTTTGCTTTGGGCTCCTACAAACAGAATCACATGATTTGAGTTGAGGGGATAAATTCACTTTTCTCCACATGGAAATGATTAAAAAGGACTAAACTTGAAGATGCTTCGGCACCGACATCAAAGCTAGACGAGGGACCCTTGGAAAAAAAGCCGGAAAACATTCCAATGATGAACACCTCCTTCACACAGTGATAATTTCTCCAAATTACTATTCACCCGAAAAACATTTAGGGGTCAGGAAATTCTCCAACAACAAAAAGTCCAACTGACTCTGTCAAAGGGGTTGTTTTGGTTGACAATGCCCGACAAGTAGAATTGCCATTCATCAAGTGAGAGAGAAAAGGAACCTTTAACCTAAATTGATAATAACAAGATTGGCGCAGAGATCATTTCGCTCCCCTCATACGGGCATGACAACTAGTCTTCCAAATTGGTCAATGAGAGCACCGCGGGTGTTTGATGGTGGCGGTTGGTGGCGAAGACAAAAACGAAAACTTCAAAATTAGTGAAAAAAAGGGGAAGTAAGGAGCACGTTTGAGAAGGAAAATAGGATTTTATCCTTAGATTTTATGAAACCAATGGGAACTGGAACCTGCTAAGTCGGGTACTGAGTGCCAAGCGTTGTGTCGAGTCACCATGACAACCACCATTATTTATCATTAGCAAGAGATACTCCGTCTCTCGCATAAACCCAACATACTTCACTGTTGTCCTTAGCTTTTACATTTCGAGTCTACAGTAAAATGACTGGGTGCCGACTTCGTGTATACGATAGCGCGCCAGACACGCGTCACGTCTGCAGACATGTCAATACGTCGCTATCAATTTCTACTTCGGACTGGTCCAGCTTTATGCTTTGTTAGTGGCTCAGAGTACAAGGGATGCAAAGGAAGAGAGGTCACTTACACAACTTGTGATGCTACTAGCTGTGTGGAGTTTCAAGCATCGGTTGTACTTACAGCACTTCCGGCGCGATCGGCAGCACCCTGAGAGGGTTTCCTGCCAGTTTTGCTGTGGCCCTTGGAGGGCGTCGATGTAGAGGAGGCGAGTTTCCCGAAAGCTGATTTGATTGCCGCCACAAATGACACACGATTGTTAACACTGACATGACTGGGTCCCACAAAAAAAAGTCCATCGAGCCTGACGACGTATTTGGCGCCTTTGCGAGATCCGTCATCGGCTTGCAGTAGCTGCTCGATGGTGAGGAGAGAGGAGGAGCCCGAGTCAGAGACTGACAGTGTCTCACAGAGGTTGGTCAAGTCTGAGGGTGGTGGTGGGGGGGGCGAAGTACGAGGAGGCGAGGAGGCGGTGGGGGGGTTGGAGGTGGCCCACTTAGCCTCATTTTCAAAAATAAGGAGATGAGCCTCTGCGAAGCCTGGTGTGCATACAAGGCTCACGTACCGCCTACGCATGCCCTAGAGCAAGGAAAAGAAGAGTTAGCTATGCAACCAGTTTTTACCGAAAAGTTGGCTAGTCAGCATATACTAGGGAGCAGCTTGTAGGCACTCTCATGATCACATCCCGATCCCGGAGACAAATTATGGAAATTGGCAAGTAATCTATAAAACGTGGCTCATAAAGAGCGTAAAAGAAGATGCAAGGATGCAATTCTAAGTTAATTTGGGAAAATTTCTAGCTGGGTTTGGTGTGGTAAAATGAAGTCGCCATCAGAAGGACTATAATACTAATAATGTGCACGTATCGACCAATCACCGCCTCGATCGATGAGAACTGTTGCAAGTAATAGCTAGAAGCTAAGACGCAAGCGTCAAGGTTGTTCACCCTCCCAATAAAATCGCTTAATACACCCCCCAAAGATAGATTTCCATTTCAATTATTGATCGTTTTAGTTGGCTCATGATACCACCCAACCGTGGCCTTGTTAGAAGCGGGCCACAATAAACTTGACATTAGTGGAGCAGTGGTCAAGCAACCAAGTGCGGCAGGTTACATCGTGCGATTGGCATAAGTCAGTTGGTTTCTTTGGTACACTAACTGATGAAGGACTACGGTAACGAAGTCTGTATTCTACAGCTTGCTAAGAACAGGTTTACGGGGTGGTGGCAGATCATGCTCAATGGAAACATTTTACACTCAATGGGGATGGCACCAAGGAAAATTTGGTTTGCTTGTGCATGCACAGTTTTGTAGAACCGAGCAAACTGAGGCACTGAAGTCGAAAAGACAAGTGCCAATTAAAATGCTGTGGTTAGAATTAGCCACCAGGAGACAACAGACGACCGGACTAGTCAAATGTTATTGACTTCACATGAAACTAATTCGTCCCTGCTCACTTAACACCACATTTCGCAGTTCCTTCAAAGAACAGGTCCACACAAACCACCACCAAACAAGCACGAATTCATGTTGTGCATTCACATCGGATAGTATACCACGGACAGTGGAGGCACATCAGCTAGACACCTCGCAGTTGCTTAATGATACACCTTGCTGCCTGGGCAGAAAGTTTTCTGGAAGCCTATTGGCTATAATTTAGACGGTGTGCATGGTAGTGCTGTAATGTCAGAAATTTTTAATTTTTCAAAAGCTCGTAGTGACGACTCACAAATATTTTCTAATTAAATCGAGATTACCAGTGAACATACTATTTGATCAATACCAGGAACCTTGATGATGAATAACTAAGTTCTTTTGTGCCACGTGGAGGGAGAAGATTCAGCCCAAGAAAATCCGAGGCCACTGCTAAGCAAGCAAGTGAGTTCCTGTGTTGACATGAAATGTGCACGTAACACCAAATAATGGAATTATTCAATTGCGTTGCGTAAAATTGAGCCGCACATGTTACTATTGTGCAAGCATTGCCTCAAAGATCCAGTCAAACGCGGTTTCAGATATTCAGATATCTTTTGGCCATAGATATGCATAGACGGAAGCATTAATTGCTTTAAAAAAAGCGATTTACGAAGCTTTGAACTTTTTCGGGTCTTAGATGCGAAACGTCAGGTGTTTTTCATGTAAGCAAGCTAGCTAATAGCGTGCGCGAATGCGCGCACGGTGGAATGTGCACATACATCTGTTTATCCAAAACGCGCACGCACAGCCACACACGCACACGCGCCTAAGATGCATTCGTAAGTAATTTAGGGGTGGATGTGCGCACCACGCATCAAGGTCATGCGCGCGGCGATTTATTTTGCACGCCGGGTCCACGCGTCAGGTGCGCGACCAATCCCCGCGCCGACACGTACAGACGCACACACACAATGCGTGCCTGCCCATGTTTGCAGGACGCGCGCGACGGAGAAAACAAACAAACGAGCGTGATCGATTGGTTTAGTGTATAAAAATAGGTTGGGAAAATGAGACAGCAAAGGGGACTGAAGCTATGGTATAAAACTAAGGCGTTGGTTACTGGTACTAAAACATTTAAATGAAGGGACGTGCCTCAATGATGGTAACGATGCTTAGAACAAGTTAAAAGTACCCAAAATGGCTGGCTCCTCAGTACCTGCTAAGGCTCCTTTTGATGTACTATGCTAAGAGACAACGATTTTATATCAATCTCAAGATAGTGTAGGTAGGACACGTTCGTCTACCAATCCATGTACTACCTCTTCACTTGAGGCTCATACTTCGTCGTTAGGACCTAGGGAGAGGAAACTAAGACTTGTCGATTCGTGTAGTCTAAATAGCATACACATTTGCTTAAAAGTAAATCTAACTGATTTGGTAAACCATTTAATCTATCCTACTTTCTACTAGGAGGTAAGTGAATGCCCGTATTTTGTGGCAAATATTTTTTTTAAAAAAAGAGAGGTTCCAGAAAAAAAAACTGCATCTCCTGACCGCGAACCTCACTTGAGTCAATTGATGGAAATGGAAGAGAGACTTCCGATAGTTTGAAATTGTGGGATGATGAACGAGTGTGTTGCCACCATGTCCAATAAAATGGGGCAGACAAGTTAGAGACAAGTTTTTGTAGATAAGGACACCATGTTTATTGGTTTTATGGAGAATATTAGTATTAGGAAAAATTTACTGGACACAGCTATATTTCGCATCTACTCCGATATCAGGAGGTAACTTTCTACTGATATTAAGCTGGCATATCTCTAATCTGAGCATAAATCAGAAGCTACTGAGTGGTGTAAATGTGGACGAAATGATAAGATGTGGAAATGCAAAGACCATAAAACTATTCTTCACAGCATATATCTTCGAGAAGAAGTACAACGCCAAGACAAAGAACGCTATATAGGACTAGAATGGAAATTAATGATCTGATAAGCAACAGATGGAAAGGATAGGGCAACAAATTTATTCTTCTTGTTCCAAGATTTGGTTTAAGTTAAAATATTAGAGATTCGGGTAGTAGTGCAGATCGAGGCAACAGAAAACCAAAATTAAGAGGTATTAAATTAGTAAAAAAATCTATAAAACCGTAAGACCCAAAAAAAAAGCACTGAGACTATATGCTCAGGAAAAAATTCGACAAAGTTCAAACTATAAAATGCTATCTTAAGACATAGCCTAAAAACGGCACCACATTATTCTTATTGTGAGCACTGGAATGAGAAAACATAGCAGATGCGTAAAATTTCTTGAGGCTTAAACTAAACATAACTTCGTGAAAGACAATTTACCTATGACTACATCAATGGTAACACAGACATCAAGCATAAGAAATACTTATGTAACACGCCCTATAATTAATTTTAAGGTATACAGGGAGTCATTTATAAATTGACATCAAACTTGTTGATTCAACCGACCCTATATTCATACACAGGTACAATGTAGTGAGGCTTAAAATTATTAGTCAAGTGGTAATCGTAATCCAAATCAAAATTTTTGAGAACCTTGACAGCATAATTCATACGACGTATACAATACACTAAAAAGCATAATATAGTCTGCGCAGTTCACTAAAAATAGTAAAGTGGAACATCAGAAAATATCGGATGTAAAAATTGTTGAGGCACCGACAAGACTTACATTACTAGCTAAACTGATATCGTCAACAGAGACCCAAAAGGAGATTATAGTGAAACTGAAAGCACGTTTTTTCTGAAAATGTCAGTGTAACCAATAATAGTGTATAGGACAATAGTATTTCATTTGAAAGAATACAGAAATTCAAAAAGACATACGCGTAATCTGCAAAAAATCCAATATAAACACAATAAATATGAAAAAAAACATAGACCTTAAAAAACTGTGGACTAACTTGCCAAACAGCAAAATATCCAAGAATAGCAAAAAATCTCATTAATTATTTCAGCAAAAAATCGCAAAAATAAAATATTAAAAAAAGCTTTACCTTAATGCATGCATAACTGTGTAATATGGTAACTAGTTCCATAATAAATACAGCAAAATCCAAACGACGATGAAAAAAGAATTAGAAGCAAAACTGACGTAACATCCTCTAGCACACAGAAATCAAAATGGTTTCAATAAAGTAGTGTTCCGAGAGTGCATTAAATTAGTTATACTAAACAAAATGGTCAAGCAAACATTTTACTATTAAAAACAAATAAAAAAGTTTTAAGGTGTTCCAACTATGCATTTTATAAGCCAAAAATCAGCATCAACAGCAAACATAATGCTTTTACAATTTATTGCACGCCACAAATTCATTCAAAATTTAATAAATATATTTATTGTAGAACTAAATATTACATGGCTTTTGCTCAGTTTTTGATCAAACTTACATGATTGAAAAACTTGTTTTTGTTCACTTTCAAGTTCACGAGACACCAGGATGCAGGACTTTATGCAAAAATTCTACATTCACAGACCCGCATAAAGCATTCGCAGATTATTTCACCATAAAAACATTTTAAGAGATAAAAAAGGAACCAATTTTGATTTTAAGATCTAATATCAAGTAAATTCTTTTAATTATCAGCTAAAACCGCTTTTTATTTATTCAAAGTCAAGGAAAGATACCCCAACATAAATCTGTAAACTTAGAATTGCATTAGGCAAATTCGATTTTATCGTAGCTCAAATTCGGAATGCATTAATTGTTTGAGGTGCAAGGCACGTTAAGTGACATTTCATGGCCAAATAAACCTGGTTTTTACAGCCTGATCACCAAGCTCAAGCTGGCATCTTACAGCTACGTTGAATGCTTCTACAACACGCGATTTGAGTTCAAGTTAAAAGCAAATACAGCTGCCGACTACGTCCTATGCCAACGCTACTCATGCTGTTGTGATCTAGTTTTGCATAGAAAGCATTACTGATAGCTCATGTGCGTTTTAAACACAGACCAGACATTACACCTTTCTAATAAACTGCCAAACATAAAATGTCAATATACAGTTTATCTTCGTCACCGTAAAGCAGAAACTGGTTCGTTTGGAGATTGAAAAGGTAGGGTAAATGAATGTCATTGCTTGCATGGCTGAAACATCGCACAGCATCTTCATTACCACTAACACATCCAAAAGTTGCCTAACTAAACTACAACACGCAATGCACCCGAAGTAGTGTAAGAGTGAATGACGGGCGCTGACAACAAATTACTGCCATTCCATTACTTTTAAATTTATGTGATACACTAAATCCACATCCCTTTATGTGCTGCAAGAATATATTACTGATGGCGCATGTGAGGCTTCGAACCCACTTAGCCACCAACATCCTATGCTCAGCATATGCCAGACATTACCACTTACTGACAAAGTGACAAACATTTCAACTCGCTGCATCCATTCAACGCCCAAATGCTGGCACACCTGCCTTTCCTTCTCCCACTTCATTATAAGCCTTTCTATTCCCTCGAATTATCTTGGTGTGATTTGCGACACTGACACCATTGGAACTCTCCTTTGTTACCGACTTCTTCCACTATTTCGGTGACCAGCATCACCCACCACATCCATGGATTCGATATTCAAATTGCATCATCAGGCATCAATGGCAAGGCTGAACGCACAGACACAAGCCTCAACGCAATTGAGAAGGGGGGAGACGACTGCAGTGACGAGTGTAAGTGAAAATGAACCGCGCTGTTGCTGAGATGTCATCTCGATATTGTCGCAGATGCGTCTGTTGAGGCTGCTGCTACTACCACCACTGATCATCCCGAGTGAGTGTGGGCTTTGCTTTGAGTGCAAACGGTCTGTTTGAGTGGACTGAACCCCCTTGTCGTTGCCACTGTCATTGACTACTGACCAGGTAAGGCACAGTAATACCATTTACTCGTTTGGAGAATGAAACTACGCCGTGTACTTGGTGGTGCCAAAACAAACCAGGCGAGATTATTGACGGCGATTTTGGAAATACATGACCATTTCCTGTCTCGGTGATCGCATCGCAATTTGTGAGCCATTTACATTTTATTAAGTCCTAATGACACGCGGGAGCAATACTATTCTACGACAGTGCATCAATGGCAGAGAAATGACGGAAAAGTTCCAGTCAATGCCCAAAAAAAACTGATAGCCTGAGAGGTAACTCCCCCACGAACATGCGACAAAGGTTAGATATTAAACTTGGGTACAATGGAATAGTATCTGACTTATCGGAGACGAGCTCTAGATGGTGGCACCACATATCCTCTGGCACAAGAACAAACGACTTCCGTAGACAATTTCATGCGCACATGAACATGGCTAACTCTGATCCAAACGTTGTTTATTATATTACGTAACATTCTCTACCGCGCCGTTGTTTGAGGTTTTAACTTCAGCAATCGCGTTGTTGGGGCAAGCATAAAGAAGAACCGAAATCGGGTTCCCAAAACATCATTTAATGATGCCAAAGTTCTTCTTCGTTCGGTGTCTTGAGATACGACATTCTGAATAAAAGCTTTCCACCGATTAGAACCACAGGAGAATACTACGTTGGCATAAGGGCAAGTATGACGAAGCGGCGATCCAAGAATAGATAAGAAGAACCCGGGACTCAAAAACTGGGGTTCCAGCACCTGAGATGTAGCGCTGAGTCAATTCGCATGGGATTGTATCGAAACTGATTCATCTATTTCCGATCACAAATTTCAGATTAACAATTACTCAGTAATTCCTAGGTAGATTAAAAAAGTAGCAAATTTTGTTTAAACTGATTCACAGAACCAACCCTTGAAGGATCTTATTTTTTTTTAAATTACACACCTTCCAAAACTGAGCCATAGGACTACGGACTTGAAAAATGCCCCATCGTTCGACTTAATTAAAAGTACTGAGTAGCATTGACTGGACACAAGCAGACCCTGGTAAACTGAAGGAGCGAAGACAAGCTGCGGGTCTCGGACACGTCCTAGGTGATTATTGGGAGATAAAAAAGGTTTTGAGCTTATTTTCAAAACCAAATAGATATAGGGAATAAAGGGTAATCGGGGAGAGCAAGGCCAAAGTGGTCACTCTTGACTATAAAAGCAAGCTATACAAGTTGAACAGGTTCTCAGGTATTCCCAGGAAATAGATGGCGCAGATGACCTCTGCAAAAAACGAAAGAATTAGTTAAAACAGATTGACAGAAATCGACGGTACTAACAAAAGACTCACAAAATGGGCCACGGGATGTCGGGAGGCAGTTGAAGGAGGTTTCGGCAGAGACGCCGGACACGCAGAAGACACAACTGATATAGCGTGGCGTCAGGATACAGGATGTAACAGTCGGCAAGATCCCTGAGACCTACAACAAAGGAGGATGCTCCGCTACCAACTGAGCCAAAACATATAATCAGCGTTTGGAACAATCAGAGGACAGAAGTTGCGTGAATAAGGAGTTCACCACTGAATAAGGTCAGTTAAAGCCAATGGAAGACAGTTTTTTGGCGTAAAAAGGTGCATTTAATAAACCAATGGCTACAAAATTCAACTTACGTTCACTTCCACGCAGTACACAACAGTTCATAGAAGGGATGCTTGCACAAACTTCCTTCCCATTTACCCCAAATGTATCAATGTAATCATCTTCACTACAGATCGAAGAATCTGACTCAGGTTCATCGAAGCCTTCGTGGTCAAAAATGGGGGGCAAAAAACTACTCCTGCGATAAAACAGTGGCACCAAGCTTTGCAAACGTGGCACTTCAGTGTGCCTCAGCCAATACAGAGCACGTGTGGGATAGGCCATGTGCGAAACATAGGCGGAAAAGTTCGTCTGATTCCTCATTTGGAGGTCTACGTGGATTCGCCTTTGGTGTTCTGGTTCAAGCAAAAGCCCCGAGGTCGAGATATGATCGAGAAGGCGCGCCGCGAACCTCCCCGCAACCGCGATCATTTGACGCTTAAATCCTTCCACCAGCGCATTCACGGCGGAAGTGCCGAAAATGGTGAAAGTGTTGGTTCCCTGTGACTGTGCCCAAACTATCGCCGTAGGATGTTCATTGGGATACGCATCCCTACCCAATGAGCCAGCCAGGGTACTAAAGAGGAGCTGCGCAAACGATCTTGCGCGTGCGCGGCCGCCAGCGGAAAGCGCAAAATCCTCGACCAACGCACCGGATGCAATCTCGTCGGTGGAGGCATAAAGGATTACGGGATTGCGAAGATCCTCCGGGCCAAATTGTGGGCGACTCCAAGGGAGGAAAATGTGAAACGAGAAGTCGTAACTGGGTACTTCGTGATTTACCCCGAGGAGGTAACTGGCAATCACACATAGGGGACGGTTGGTGAAAAAAAAGGAGGACGAGTTGCTGACTGGGGTGGAGGCGTCTGCACGGGCTTCGGCGCTGCTGCTCGGGATGGAATGCGGTTCCGCGTCAGTGTTGGACGGCGTGGTGGGAGCTAAAAAATGAGAGGAGTTGGTAAAAACAATTCCAGTAAAAAACAGATGCAGATTTAACAAACCTGTACGCCACTGAAAACCACGTAGTTTTATGAGCAACCCAAATCGCTGAAAGCAGTTGTGGCAGACACCAAATAGTTTGGCTTATTTCAGTTACCGTCTTGCATAAAGTAGACACAGTGAAGATCAAGGAGGGTTCATTTAACCTCGAATTACTGCAACCAAAAGCACCAAGTACCATAACCTACAGTTATGCAAAGGCTCACATCTTAGTAAACATTTTTCAGCATCCAGTGTTAACGGACAACAAAATTGACTGAGGTGTACCAGGAGCGCAGACGTTATTGTAAGACACGCGGCCGTGGAAGTGCAAAGCGTGTCAAAAGGAAATTTAGGAACTTACAGGATAAATAAAACTTGATGGAAATTTTGTAGTTTGCAAATAGCCAAGATTCTAACAAATTATTGTATAAAACAACAGCTTAGTCAAACCAGATGGCACTTAACTAGGCAGTCACATTCCAGAGGCCCAAGTCAAGGCCGGTTCAAAGTAGGGGCACTTTTAGTTGGCTAGATGGTCAGACATTTAAGGAATGCAAGTGTACACGTTAATTGATAACCTAACGAAAATCACCACGAGAACAAAATCCTACACTCGAAAACAACGTCCTCGTTTCGAAAAGATTTAGTT